GCCAAGGCCTTTATCACCTTCTCTTCCCTGACCTTGGGCTCCCCACACTGCTCTATTCTTTCTCTGAAAACATCTTCCCTTCCCTCCTGCCTACTGGGTCTGCAGTGAAACCAAACATCTCTTCTCCTGCCTCATCCCACTTGACCTGTCCTTGGCCTTCAGATGGGACTGAGTGCCAATTTTTCCTTCCTGAACCCCACCTCAGTTAACCCCATTCCTCCCCGAGCTCCTTCCGAGGACGCTCTGCCTTCACCTGCCCCACACCTGCGCTGGTCTCCCGGCCTTCAGCCTCAGCCTTCTGCCCTTCGTCCTCCTCATACTCTTCTTCCATTCCATTTAGACACTGGCATCTCCCGATCTCCACCCAGACCTCATGCTGCTTCCACACCCCTACATCCATCCACCTGCAGCAAACACCTCCACAACCCACCAGCACTGACCCTTGTCATGCCAGGAATTTGTTGGTGAATAGGATGGACTCATGGACCTTATACTCCAGCAGGGGAGATAGACAGTGAGCAAGCCGACAAGAAAACTTCAGATCCAAACAGACCCCGTTCGCAAATATCAATCGGGGTGATGAGATAGGGGATGCTGGGGGTTGGAGGAGAGCTTTAGAGAGGGCAGGAGGGAGGGTAGAGGCATTTGGCTGAGGTTTTAATGATAAAAAGAGCAAGGGGGGGCTGGGCACGGTGGTTCACGCCTGTAATCCCAGCACTTTGGGAAGCCAAGGCGGGTGGATCATGAGGTCAAGAGATCAAGACCATCCAGGCCAACAGGATGAAACCCCGTCTCTACTAAATAATACAAAAAATTAGCTGGGCGTGGTGGCACACACCTGTAGTTCCAGCTACTCGGGAGGCTGAGGCAGGAGAATTGCTTGAACCCAGAAGGCAGAGGTTGCAGTGAGCTGAGATTGTGCCACTGCACTCCACCCTGGCACCTGGTGACAGAGTGAGACTCTGTCTCAAAAAATAAAAATAAAAATGAAAAAGAGCAAGAGGGAAAACGCTATTTTAGGAGGAGGGATGGGCACAGACAAAGGCCCTGACACAGGACCATGTCTAGTGCAAGGAACAAACTGAAGGGCAGCCAGCACAGATCCACAGGGCCCTAGAGGCTGTGGGGAGGAGACTAGACAGTACTCTAGGAGCAGTAAGAAACCGCCAGCAGGGTGGCTAGGCACAAAGGCTCACGCCTATGATCCCAGCACTTTGGGAGGCTGAGGTGGGCAGATCACGTGAGGTAGGAAGTTCAAGACCAGCCTGGCCAACACAGTGAAACCCCATTTCTACTAAAAATACAAAAATTAGCCAGGTGTGCTGGGACACACTTGTAATCCCAGCTACTCAGGAAGCTGAGGCAGGAGAATGGCTTGAACCCAGGAGGTGGAGGTTGCTGTAAGCCAAGATGACACCATTGCACTCCAGCTTGGACAACAAGAATGAAACTGTCTCAAAAAAAAAAGAAAAGAAAAAGAAACCACAAGCAGGTTCCAAGCAGAGCAATACCACGGTCCACCTGACATTACACATGAAAACCTCTGGGCCTGTTTCATAGGTAGCCTCCCTTAGGCCACCTTGACCCAAACCTGAAATCCTCTCTCCAGCCCCCAGTGACCCAGGCCAGTCGATTCAGCCTCTTGGCTTTCCAGCCAGCCTTCCTCACCTTTCTTCCAGCCCAGCTTTGTCCCAGCCCTGACCCCCACTTCCAAACCTCCAGGCCCTGCCCCTCACCCACCCGCCACACAGCAGCCAGGCAAGCAGCCTCCAGAACAGAAGCCAGATCAGACCCATCACTGAAGCCCTCGCTGCTCCATGCCACCTTAACGTAATACCCTACACTCTGCCCCGGCCCAGGCCCCACCCACAAACCCGGGTCTCTCATTCCTGCTCCCCCTCAGTATTTGAGGTTACCTCTGCTCACAGTTCTGCCTCACCTCTACCCTCTGCCTACTGGGCCGTCACCTTGGCTCTGTACTTTCTGACTGTGTGACCCTAGGTAAGTGACTTCTCTCTATTCCTTCAGTTTCCCCATCTGTAAAATGTAGATAATAATAAGGTAGTTGTGAGAATACAACAAATGGATTTCATTGTAACAGCTTCACAGGCAGATTCTTTATCCTCACCTTCCAGACAGGAAAGCTGAGGTCCAGAGGAGAGGTGACTTGCCCAAGGTATCACAGCTAGGCCTGCTACAGCCAGGCATCTGACTTCCTTGCCGATGCTCCCACCCACACCCCACTGCCCACACCCTCAAGAGCCTAGCGCTGCAGTGCAAGGGCACCCACCACACCAGTGAGCTCAGTGGCACATGGGTGGAGGGCAGTGCCACTGAGTCCTGCTGAACACAACTGAAAGGGCCTGGCAGCTTGATCCAAGGCCTCAGGAGCAGAGACTGCAGAGGCCACAGCTTTGGTGAGACGGGAAAAATGACTTGGCATGGCCCTGGGGCACAGATGCCACCCTGGGAGCGGCACTAGCAGCTCCCTTTCCCCGGTAGAGGCAGCCCCACCCAGGAGCCTTGTCAGCTGTGGAATGTTGAATTCTGTTTCCCAGGGCCAGCTCCCAGGCTCTCAACAGAGGAGATCCCCTCCCAGCCGCCAAGGACTCGCTACTGACCCTCCCTGCCTCTCCTGGTAGGTCAAGCCTCCTTGTGCGGAACTGGGGTGGGGAGAGGGCTGTGACCCACCTCACTTTGCAAGGAGCCTAAGGTGAGGCACCTGACCCAGGTACTACAGGAAGGGAAAGGAGGCCAGGGAGGGAGCCTGGCGGCTCCCTTCGCGCCAGAATCTCCTCCCCACCGGCTAAACCAGGGGTGGGGCTTGGCACACATCCCATATCCCAGGGTAGGAAGGAGGCTGGGCGAGAGAGGGGGCGACCTGCACCTAGCGCGCCCGTGGGGTCTTCAAGGAAACACCTTCCCTTTCTCTACCGGGCCTCGGGATCACTCAGGGAGACCCCCCCCACTCCAACCCCCACCCCGCGCTGTAGCTGGGACCAGCCCCCAGAAATCCGGGCCTCTCTGTATCTATCTCGGGTGGTCCTGGAAGTGGGCGTGGGGGTGGCAGAAGTGGGGGATGGTCCCGAGCTCCGAACTCTTGGGGCAGGGAGTGGTCTGCCCCCTCAGAAGACTGAACGTCCCTCTCCCACCACTCCCCAGCACAGGGCAAGGCGCAGACCCCACGCTCACCCAGAAAACAATGTTGAAGCCAAACAGGAAGTATTTCCCGCAACAGCCGACCTCGGGTTCCTGGAAGTGCTGGTGCTTGCCGGGCATGGTGAGCGGCCACCCGCCGGCCGGGAAACCGGAGCCGGGAGCCAGGCCCAGCGCCCCGCTGGCCGCCCTGGGCTAGAGCCGCCCCGGGCCTAGCCGGGCGGCTGCGGCTTCATGGCCGCGGCCACACAGAGCGCCAGTCGGGCCCCGCCCGCCCCTCAGGGACCGCCCTCGGCATCCGGACCGCCTCGCCCTGAGCCCTGCGCTGTTCCCTCCAAGCCCCGCCTCTGGGCCGAGCTCCGCCCTCTCAGCCCTCAGTTCCCTCGGAGCCCCGCCTCCCGACCTGCCTCCGCCCCCACAGCCCAACTCAGTCCCGTTTGAACCCCGCCTCTGGACATGGCTCCGCCCCCGCAGCCGGACTCGGACCTCCTCGCAGCCCAGCCTTCGGCCAGGCCCCGCCCCCGCGCCGGTCGCAGCCGCGTTTCCCAGCGTCCTTCAGTTGCGTCTGAGACGCCGGCTGATTGTGCCAGTTACTGCTGGCGTGAAGAAGCTGTAGCTCCCCCTGCTCGGTACCAGCGCCATTCCAGTCCCCAGCCCGCTGTTGTAGCCCATCCCAGGGGGAAGAGTAACTGCTGCTCCGGTGGACGGATGGGGACACTGGTCCAGATTGAGTTTTTAACACGTGCAGGACGTTTTGTCATAGTGGAGTCGCAGCAGACTCACCTTCACCCCGCAGAAATTCAGCTGTGCTAATCCTGACTCAAAACTCAGACCAAAGGAGGGCCTGGGGCTTGTGCCACGCCTGCTGCGCCCTGCCAGGGGCATATGCCCCAGCACCTGGCTCAAGTCCCCTTGGTGGCTGAGGTCCAGCCGTACCCCCTGTCCCCCATACCTGCCTGGGTCCTGTTCAGGCTCCTTGGTACCTAGTGATCGCACATGAGCCCCTACAAGGCAGGACAGGGGCACAGCAAAGTTCGGGGGTACCTGAATCTTACTCAAGTTTAGAGCCCTCTAAAAATAATTCCAACGTTGTTCAGAAGTATTTATTTAAAATAGGAACAGAAAGATGCTTAAGCTTTATTATAAAGTTTATCTACTTCTACCAGAACCATGGTGAGGCTTAGCCCAGCATTCCCCCACCTCCACTTCAGTCTGGCCCTGAGGCAGGTAAGGCCCAGACAGCCCTGGCCACAGCTGGTGAGAAGGGGAGCGGCCCTGCAAGGCTCTCTCAGTCCTCAGCAACCCACACATCCCTCTGTACAAATGATGTTGTTCACCCTCCAGCCCTCAGCCCTTGGGGTGGGCAGCCCCACTTCAGGGACCCACCCACAGCTGGTGGAGGGAGGGGATAGCATCCAGGGTGAGCTCTGAAGCTACAGAGCTGGTGAGGTTTTTAAGCAGAGTGACCCCAACTCCTATCCCTGAAGTCCAGCTCTCAGAGTGTCTGTACCCTGGAGCCCCCACCCATGGAAGAGCGCTGGACCATAGGCTTCTCTGCCTGCCATAGTGCTCTTCTTCCCCCATGACTCAAACCTACGAAGGAGTTTCCTCCACCCTGCTGCTGTCCTGTGGCTTCAGGACAAGCTAGATCCTCAGACTGCCACCACTACCCCCACCTGGCCCCTAGGCCCGACTCATGTTAAAGAGTGTGCATTCCAGCTCACTGGAAGAGAGATAAGAACCAGGCTGTGTGATTCCCCAGTCCTGCCCCACCCCCATCCCCCAAAGTTATAACGCTCAGGTGGTGGCTGTCCCATTACACAGGAGGGGTGCCAAGGCCCCCCTCACACCACAAACTTGTTCTTGGCTAGGGAGTTGCTCTTGGTGGCTGTGTCTGCATGGGCCTGGTACCCAATGACGGTCTTTGGGGAGAGGCCCAGGCGCTCTTTGTATACACGCCTGCAGGTGCGGAGGACACAGGAAAAGAGACACAGGTAGTCACCAGAGGGTCCTAGAGATAATTCAGGGCACCAGACACCTACCCTCATTCTGGCCACAGCCACTCCTGTTGTGTGTCTTATGCATGTGGAAACCCAAAATAGGACCCCTTAATGCAATAGGAGAGCTGCACTGCAGTAATAGAAAGGGTTGGAAATCTGAACGCTAGACCCTTCCATACAGGTGGGCAAGGCAGAAGGGAGAGAGGCTATGGAGACTTCCAGAAGTCTCCCTTGCAGGCCAAGCCACCTCCACCCACCTTCCCTCTCGAAGAGACCCAGCCCCCACCCTGTGCCAGAGACTCTCCTCACCCAATGTGCAGCACGCCTGCCTGGTTTTCCGCCTCCCTTGTCCACACGGCGATCTTGTCCCCCTTGGTGCGGATATTGACGACGGCCCCACAAACATCCCTGCTATGCTCCTCAAAGCTCTCCCCGATCAGACACAGCAGCTAGGCCGGAAGTAGGGGGTTGTGAAATCACTAGCTGGGACATAGGGACTGCCCCACCATCCTTGAGACCACTGCCACCGTGAGGCCCACACAGCCCATCTCTATTCCTGAGGACCCTCCCCTCTCCAACTCACTGTCTCCAGCCACAGCCGGTCCAACTCAATGTGGCGCTGCTGCTTGGCCAGGCTGACCAGCCAACGGCCACCCCACTTATTCTTGCTGTCCTCCCACATGGGCTCGATGCCATCCTGCAAGGCAGATGGCAAGTCAACTGCCTCCCTGTGTTCAAAGGGAAGTGGGGACCCACCTACCCTCCCAGCCTATCCGCCCTCTGCTGAGGCCCTAAGTAGGCCAGATTCTCTTCTGCTCCTCCCCTCAACGCAAGCAGAATTCCACCCCCAGCCACTCAGCCCCGGACAGATAGCACTGGTCACCTTTTATAGCCTTGTATATGTGCATTTGTTAAATGCATATATTAAGGAAGCCTGGGAAGGTGGTGGGGAGGTGGGGGGGGAAACCCCAATGCAGGTAAGGGGGACATCCCGGGCTTGGTTGCAGGGTTCCCAGGCTGGGCAGGAGTCACCTGGGGAGATCTCTAAACACAGTATCCGCCCTCCAGGGACAGGTGTGGCATCAATGAGTGTCCTCAGGCAATTCTGATGCCCTTCCCTAGTGAAGGAGCCAGGCCAGAAATCTCTTTCCCTCCCTCTTCCCCTTCCAGCCTCTTAAGGTCCTCCGAGGTACAGCTGGAGCCTGACTGTCCAGGTCAGAAACTGCAACTCTGCTGAGAGGTGGCTCGTTGCACCTCACCCCTATTCCTGTGAGGGATTAACGCAGCAGAAGCTGGGAGGGATCAGCTCCTGGTCCCTTTGCAGGAGGGAAAGAGGAGAGCAGAGCTTACCTTGAACAGGGCATAGTCACAGCCGGAGGAGAGTTTGCTGGCCAGCTGGATGTGACTGTACAGCCTGGACAGAGCCCCCACCCCATGCCAAAAGTCAAGGCTTTTTAGGGCCTGGTTCCAGTTGGGCTCAGTCTTCCCAACTCCTCACCTGACCCCATGGCCTCCAAGCCTTTGCTTACACTGGCCTGCCACCTAGGATTCCACCCCCACTTATCCAAACTCTCAAGACCCACCTTCTCCACGGAGCATTCCCTGTGAGCCAACCCCTGGGGAGGGTTTTGGACCCCCAGCGCGTCCCCTCCAGCTAGAACTGGGGCCTTCTCGCCCTCCCTAGGGCTTGTGCAGCCCTTTTCAGATCCACTCCCTTGAGCACCTGGGACACCAAGACAACCGAGTCCTCCCTTTGCAACTGAGACAGGTTCAGAGAGGGGAAGGAGCTTGCCAGGTCACAAAGCCATTGAGTGTCTGAGTCAGCTCCCTGGGCTCCCTCCCTTAGCCCTAAGAAGGTGATGGGATGGGGGTGGGGGGTAGCCCTACACCCCCTGGGCAGAACCCACCATGCCCCAGGCCTCACCAAGGCTGAAAGGCCCTAGGGAGGCCTGGGCTGGCTCAGCCTGGAGGGAGGGAGCCTAGAGCTCAGAGTGCCCCCCACCCCTGACCCCAGCCCTGCTGGGGTCAGACACTTACGCCCAGAAGTCCTCCACAGTGTCCACCTTGGTGACCAGGTGCAGGTTATCCTGCCAGGCCCGGCTGCGGTCGTTCTTGAAGAACCACAGAGCCCACCTGGTAGGGGAAGGGGGCGGGGGGGGGGCGTAGCCAGGAGGAAGCAGAGAGCCTGTGAGTACACCCCCGGGACACCTGGACTGACAGGGAGGGCCCTCCCTTCAAGGGCAAACTGGAAGATGAGATTTGGGGCACAGAATCCCCCTCCACTCAGATGATTGAAGTCAGTTGTCCTGAAGGACAAGGGAAGAGTGGTCGAGGGGGAGGATATGACCCACAATTTCCGTGGGGTTAAAGCTGGAAGGACCAACAGCACTCAAGGCTTAGGTCAGCTCTGGCCTCCCACAGATGAAGAGCTGGGGCTGAGAGAAGAAGGCGTTGCCCAAGGCCAGGCTGCCAGCACAGAGGCTGGCCTGAAAGCAGGGGGCTGTGTCCCACCTACAGACCTCTGCCTACCTGTTTTGCAGGGGGTGCAGCTCCCGCTTGACTTTCATGGGGCTCCCCACCTGGGCCTTCCCTCTCAGAGACAGTGAAGTCCTCGGAGAGTTTGGAGCCTCTTTTCCCATGGGCATCCCCTCTGCTACCTCCTTCTCCTCCCGCTCTGGGATTCCACCCTCAGCTTCACTCACCTGCGTAGAAAAAGGAGTCAGGGTAGGCTGTGGGCTATGGGCTGTGAGCCCTGGCCCTGGCTGTCCCCTTGCCCACCCTGCCCATCCCGTGCTCCAGGAAGGACTGGAAGGGGGACTCACAGAGCCTGCAGTAGCCATGGAGCTCAAGCTCCACGGAGGACCCAGCATCTGAGAGGCCCCAGCTACCAGCTTTTAACTCACCAGCGCCTGCTGGCCCACCTGGGGCAGGGGAGGGGGCGGGGCCATGGTGCAGGGGGTAGAGAGGCCAGCCTGTTTACTTCATCAGCAAGCATTTAGTGAGTGTTGTCTTCGTGCAGGCCTGGGGCTAGTGAAGCAGCTGTGACCAAGCCAACCCAGCCCCACACAATGGGGGCCAAGACATGAACGTAAGGGTCAATATTTGGAGTCTGCCCGAAGAGAAAGCAAGGTCTGCATCCCATGGAGAGTGACCCCTGAATGTGGGCTGTGGGCTGTGAGCTCTGAAGCTGGCTGTCCCCTTGCCCACCCTGCCCATCCCCTGCTCCAGGAGGGGCAGGCAGGGGGACTCACAGGGCCTGCGGAAGCTGGCGTGGACTGACCTGCAGATGGCAGAAGCAGTGACACTGACAGCCGTGGGCCGTCGGCACCATCCCATTCTCGCTAGAGCAGGCATTCATCTGGTCTCTGGAAGCATCTGAGTTTGTTTGTTTGTTTTAAATAAAATAATATTTTTGACTAGGGATGAAGGGATCTCACTGTGTTGCCAAGGCTGCTCTCGAACTCCTGGACTCAAGTGATCTCCCATTTCAGCCTCCCAAAGTGCTGGGATTACAGACATGACCCACCATACCCAGTGGCATCTGAGCTTTTAAAAAATGTAATCGTCTGCCAACATATAGACATAGGGAGATTTTACACTAAGAGTCACACTTTTGGCTTCTATTGAGAATTTGGAAAGGTCCTCCTGGACCCACTGCCTCACAGTGCACAGTCCCTTTGGAGGGACACATGAGGCTCCCCACAGCCCCCATCTTACCTCCTGCCCCACCTGAGTGATCTCTGCCTGGCATGAATGATGAGGGGCAGGGCCATAGCCCCACAGCCTGGATTTCAGTCCTGATTCTACCCTGACTGCAGCCAACCCCAAGCGTCACTGAGTTACTTTCCCCATCTGTAAAATGAGAATGTTATTCATACATAACTCAGAAGCCTGTGGATGGTATTGAATGATATATAACACACAGCACCCATAGAACAAGGCCTGGCTCATGCTCAGCAGAAGTCAGCTGAGGGCTCCCCCAGGCTGGGGAGGCTGGGACTGAAGGAAAGCAGGGAAGCTCTGGACACCCTTCCTCAGCCTTCTAAGGGACTTGGCTGAAGCCTCTTCAAGTCCTTTAAAGTTTTGCATTCTCCCCTTGGCCACTTTTAGGGTCCCAGATGTGTAAAAGGCCCTGCTCCTCCCCGACACCTGGGGAGCTCGTGACCATCTGGAGGCTGAGTATTTACTCAACCCACCTCCCCAAGCAAGCCCTGGTATGTGCTAGGCACAAGGTGAGGTGCTGCTACAATGATGAGCGAAAAACGAGCGAGACCTGTGCTCAGGTTTATGAGATTATGCATCCATCAGACAATCCGTGCCATCACAAACACAACCCACCCAAGGAAACGGATTCAGGGATAGGAGAACATAAGGAAGTCCAGGATGCAAGCTTCGGCTTCAGAGCTTCGGGTCTCAGGTGCGTGTATAAGAATCACCTGCAGGGCTCGTCCATCATAGGTTGCTGGGCCCTGCCTCAGAACTTCTGACTCCTTAGTTCTGGGCTTGGGCCTGAGGATGTTTCCATTTTACTTATTTATATTGTTTTGAGACATGGTCTCATTCTAGTTGCCCAGGTGGGAGTGCAGTGGCATAATCTTGGCTCACTGCAGTCTTGACTTCTTGGCTCAGGTGATTCACCCACCTCAGCCTCCCAAGTAGCTGGGATGCACCACTACACCCAGCTAGTTTTGTGTGTGTGTGTGTGTGTGTGTGTGTGTGTGTGTGTGTGTGTGTAGCTGGAATTTTACAGATGTGAGCCATCGCGCCTGGCCCAGGATGTTTGTATTTCTTTTTCTTTTTTGTTTTTTTTGAGACAAAGTCTTGCTCTGTCACCCAGGCTGGAGTGTGGTGGCACGATCTTAGCTCACTGCAATCTCCACCTCCAATTCAAGTGATTCTCCTGCCTCAGCCTCCCGAGTAGCTGGGATTACAGGCACACATCACCATGCCCAGCTAATTTTTGTATTTTTAGCACAGACGGGGTTTCACCATCTTGGCCAAGATGATCTCGATCTCCTGATCTCATGATCCACCTGCCTCAGCCTCCCAAAGTGCTGGGATTACAGGCATGAGCCCACCAGATGTATGTCTAACAAGTTCCCAGATGCCACGGATCAGGAACCCCATTTTAAGAACTAAGTTAGAAGAAGCTCACTAAAGAGGTGGTATCTGAGCTGAGACCTAAAGCATGAACAAGAAATAACTAGGAAATAATTAGCTGGGTTGGGGAGGGCCTCTCCAGGAGTGAGAACAGTATGTCCAAAGGCCCTGGGGCAAAGGGAATGTGAAATATCAGAGGACAAGAAGACAGGTCAATGTGGCTGAAGCTAAAAGGGGAAAGGAATCGGTAAGCCTTGATCCTAGCAGCAGTGAAGAGCCACCGAGCATTTCAAGTGCCTACAGACTGGCTAGGGAGGCAATCAGATATACTTTCAGCAGGTTCTCTGGTTTGCTGTGCAGGAAACAGAACCCTGTGGCTGCAAGAAGGTGTGGGGAAACACTGATGCTAATGCGGTCATCCAGGTGACAGGCAGCAGAGAAGACAGAGAGATGATGATACATTCAAGAGGAATGTAAAAGGAAAACTCAGTGACATTTGGTGATAGGCCCTGGAGGGGTGAAGCACTGTGTCCCACGTATCTATTGCTGCACAACAAACCACCCCAAATGTAGCGGCTTAAAACAATCATCAGCCAGGTGAGGTGGCTCGTGCCTGTAATCCCAGCACTTTGGGAGGCTGAGGCAGGCAGATCACTTGAGGTCTGGAGTTTGACACCAGCCTGACCAACATGGAGAAACCCCTTTTCTACTAAAAATACAAAATTAGATGGGCATGGTGGAGTATGCTTGTAATCCCAGCTACTTGGGAGGCTGAGGCAGGAGAATTGCTTGGGAGGTGGAGTTGTGGTGAGCCGAGATCACACCACTGCACTCCAGCCTGGGCAACAAGCGCGAAACACCATCTCAAAACAAACAAACAAACAAAAAACAATAATCATTTTTTATGCTCACAAGTCTGCAGCATGGGCAGTGCTCAGTAAGACAGCCCAGTTCTCCTCCAAAGGGAGGTTAGCTAGGGTGGCTCACAGGTTGAGGCTGGAGTCATCTGGTCACTCATACGTGGGGCAGCTGATGCCAGCTGTCAGCTGGAGCCTCAGCTGGGGGTGCTGGCCAGGACGGCTCTGTGTGTTGTCTCCATGTGGCTGCTTGGCTTCCTCATGGAACAGTGGCTGGGTTCCCAGAGCAGGCATCCCAAGAGACAGGAAGCAGAAGCTGCCAGTTTCTTAAGGCCTGGGCCTGAAACCTGGCACCACATCAGACCCACCGTATTCTACTAGAGTCACAGGCCCAGATTCAAGGGAGGGACATACTACCACCTCTCAGTGGGAGGAGCATTGAAGAAATTTGGACAGAGGGAGCACTGGAGGAGAACCAGGCTGGGAAGAGATCACAAATATAGATTTGTTGTTGTTTTGAGACAGGGTTTGCTCTGTTGCCCAAGACGGAGTGTAGTGGTACGATCATAGCTCACTACAGCCTCAAACTCTTGGCCTCATTCTCCCTCCTCAGCCTCCTGAGGAACTGGGACTACAGATGCACACTACCATGCCCGGAAGATTTTTAATTAAAAAAAAAAATAGAGGCCGAGGCGGGTGGATCACGAGGTCAAGAGATCAAGACCATCCTGGTCAACAAGGTGAAACTCTGTCTCTACTAAAAATACAAAATTTAGTTGGGCATGGTGGCGTGTGCCTGTAGTCCTAGCTACTCAGGAGGCTGAGGTAGGAGAATTGCTTGAACTCCGGAGGCAGAGGTTGCAGTGAGCTGAGATCATGCCATTGCTCTCCAGACTGGGTAACAAGAGCGAAACTCCATCTAAAAAAAAAAAAATAGAGACGGGGCCTCAATATGTGGCCCAGACTGGTCTCAGATCAGCCTGGAAGGGTTCAAGTGATTCTCTGCCTTTGCTTCCCAAAGTGCTGGGATTATAGGTGTGAGCCACTGTGCCAGCCAGGAATCTACGTCTGATGAAGAAAAAGGAAGAAAGGGCTCTCCCCTAGTACCATGCATGGTCTTAGCTACCTTACAATGGTGGCCCAGAGCCCAGCATGAAATGACCATCCCAATCACATCCCTTCCCACCACCTTCCACAGCTTCCAGCCTGGGAAGCCCCTGGAGTCTTGGATTGGGGTGACTAAGGAGAGACCTTAAGAGCAACCCTCTGGCCCTACAGGGGTCCTGGCCCCTCCCCAAGGCCATCCATGTCTGTCAATGAGGGACATCTTCACGGCGGGATTGAACCAGCAGGGCCCTTGAATCCCAGTCCTATCATTCTGTTCCTAAAATATCTTGAATCTGCCCACTCCTCTCCCTCCTGACTCCCCTGACCCCTGAGAAGCTGGCTCTGACCTTGGCTACTGCGTGAGTCTTTCCTGACGCTCCATTTGCTTCCACTCCTGCTTTCCTACAGAAAGTTCTCCAGGTTCCTCAGGGGGATCATTTAAAATATTAATCTGGTCTGAGTGTAGTGGCTCACAGCTGTAATCCCAGCACTTTGTTAGGCCAAGGTGATGGATTACCTGAGGTCAGGAGTTCAAGACCAGCCTGGCCAACATGGTGAAACCCCGTCTCTACTAAAAATACAAAAATTAGCTAAGTGTGGTAGCAGGTGCCTATAATGCCCATCTACTCAAGAGGCTGAGGCAGGAGAATTGATTGAACCTGGGAGGCAGAGATTGAACTGAACCGAGGTCGCACTACTGCACTCCAGCCTGGGTGACTCTATCTCGAAATAAATAAATAACAATAACAAAATATTAATCTGATCACATAACTTCTCTGTTTTAAAACCTTCCAGGACACCCAGGATGTGATCCAAAGTTCAGATCCTGGGTTTGCAAGTTCATGGGTGACTCAGCCTCCCGTGCCCTGAGCACATGGAGTCTCCAAAAGGCCAGATTTGCTCCTGCCTCAGGGCCTTTGCACTTGCAGTCTCCTCTGCAACTATTTACAGAATTTCTCCTTGTCCTCCAGGGCTTGGCTCACATGTCACCTTCCCAAAGAGGCCTTCTCTGACCGCTACCCTATATAGGGAAGAACACTCTCCCCCATACACTCTAACTCATCACCCTGTTCTATTTCTTTCTTAGCGCTTAACACTACTTATTCATTTATTCATTAAAAAAATAATGACCTACCAATTACTTTGTGCCACGAACTGTTTTAGGCTCTGGGGAGCACAGCTGTGAACAAATTTGATGGTTTCTCCTCTTTGCATCAAAAGCCCTAGGACTAAGCCCTGGGACTTTTCTGTCCTGTCAGTACCTGCTGTTTCATGCCCCCATCCAGTAATGGGCACTAAATGTCATTTAGACGGTGATATGCTTAGCCGCCACCAGAAATCCAGAAGAGCACATCCAACTGCCTGCCTGACAGCTCCATCTGGGTATCTAATGTGCATCTCAGAGTTACCATGTCCAAAACTGAATTCCTGACACCTCCTCTGCCCTCCTCCAGACTTGCCCTTCCCATCATCTTCTGTACCCTTCCAATTGCTCAGCCAAAACCGTTGGAATGGTCCTGGAGTCCTGCCTTTCTCACCTGTTAGCACATGCCATCTTCAGTTCTCCCTTTAAAACGCCCAGGACCCAACCACTTCTCTTAGTCTCCATTGCTACCACCCCAGCCCACATGACAGTCATCCTGCCTGTGTGATGGTGACTGTCTCAGGACTAGTCCCCAGCTTTCACCCTTGTCCAAGAACGGTCCACTCCCTACTCCCTCCATTGTAGCCATTAAAGTGAAAGCTGGATCACTCCCTCCTCCGTTCACAGCGCAGGAGCCCACAAGGCCGGCATCCCTCCAGCCCTCCTCTCCCTCACTCTGCTGCAGCCACAGCGGCCTTCAGTCATGCGGATCAGACAGATCAGAAGTGCCAGGCGCCTCATGCCTTAGGACTTCAGAGACTGTCCCCTCACTTCTTAACCTCTCTCAGGGGAGTGTTCAACCCCTCAGCCCCAGTGCGGCAATTCCTATGCTTCCCCTCCTTCACTGCCCCCAGCATTTGTCACCTCCTGACACACCATATATTTTACTGATTTATTTTACTCATCACTTGCCTTCCTCTACTAGAACAGGGGGTCCCCAAGGCCTTTTTTGTTTGTTTCTGAGACAAAGTCTCGCTCTTTCACCCAGGCTGGAGTACAGTGACATGATCTGGGCTCACTGTAACCTCCACCTCCTGGGTTCAAGTGATTCTCCTACTTCAGCCTCCCAAGTAGCTGGAATTACAGGTGCACACAACCATACCCATGCACACCATACCTGGCTAATTTTTGTGTTTTTAGTAGAGATGGGGTTTCGCCATGTTGGTCAGTCTGGTTTCGAACTCCTGACCTCAGGTGATCTGCCCGCCTCAGCCTCCCAAGTGCTAGGCTTACAGGCGGGAACCACTGTACCCGGCCCCCAAGGCCTCTCTTGTTCATAGCTGTGTCCCCAGGGCCTACAACAGCATCTGGCTCATGGGAAGTACTCAGAAGTCAGAGGTAGCAGGGAGGATTGGTCATCAGATTTAGCAAAGTGAGTGTCGCTGATGATTTTAACAAGAGCAGCACACTGGAAGCATCTTTTGTGGTTACTAGTTGTGAATTGTCTGCCCCATCCTACTCGAACACTGAGTTCCAGAAGGGCAAGGACTCCATTGGTCTTATTTCCTGCTGCATCTCCTGTACCTGAAATGAAATTGACACACAGTAGGCACTCAGGGAAAACTGATTGAAAAGAACAAAGGCTGGTGACTTTCCCTCTCTGGGTAACAATTCCCTCATCTGTAAAATGGGAATGAAAATGCCTGCTTTGAAGGATTGCCGTGAGGACTTCGTGACTTAATAGATGGAGTACTGGGCACGTTATACATGTTCAGCAAATGTCCCCCATTTCCCTCCCTGTTCTCAGCTTCCCGTCCTGCCTGCCCTGCAGGAATCTGAGGCCTCTGGACAGCAAGAACATTGCTAAATGTTTAATCTGCCAGGTGCCATACACAGAGTTACAAAGGCACATCTGGATTTTTGCAGAACCCAGGCAGGGCTGGGATTCCCAGGATATGCTTAAGAGAACTCTCTGCTCCAACTGCTGCAACTGGGATTTTCTCTAAAATCCTTTCTCACCTTCTGCCATATTCCCTTCCCAGAAGCTTCCAGAGTCATTGTCCTTAGTACATTCCTAGGAAGAGGAGCAGAAGAAAAGAATGGAAAGGCCCATTTCCTGAGGAAAGAGACAACAGAAACCATGAGAGGTCCTGAGGACTCACAGGTTTAGGGACTGGCCACTGGAGACCCATGAGCTTGAGCTTTGCCACTCCATGCTATAAAGGGTGGTAGGGGGTATGTGACAGGGAAAAGGATCCATCCTGCTAGAAAAGTGTAGACCCAGTATCCATGCCCCCTTCTTCTGAGGACAGCACATAGGGAGCAAGAGAGAAAAGTGTAGCAAATATTAATAATTGGTGAATCTAGCTGGGCATGGTGGTTCAAGCCTATAATCCCAGCACTTTGGGAAGCTGAGGTGGGCAGATCACCTGAGGTCAGGAGTTCAAGACCAGCCTGGCCAATATGGTGAAACCCTGTCTCTACTAAAAATACAAAAATTATCCAGGCATGGTGGTATGTGACCATGGTCCCAGCTACTCAGATGGCTGAGGCAGGAGAATAGCTTGAACCCAGGAGGTGGAGGCTTCAGTGAGCTGAGATTGTACCACTACACTCCAGCCTGAGCAACAAAGCTAGATTCTGTCTCAAAAAAAAAAAAAAAAAAAAAAAGGCCAGGCTCAGTGGCTCACATCCCATCACTTTAGGAGGCAGAGGTGGGCAGATCACATGAGGTCAGGAGTTCAAGACCAGCCTAGCCAACATGGTGAAACCCTGTCTCTACTGAAAATACAAAAATTCACTGGACGTGGTGGCATGTGCCTGTAATCCCAACTACTTGACAGGCTGAGGCAGGAGAATCACTTGAACTCAGGAAGCAGAAGTTGCAGTGAGCTGAGATCATGCCACTGCACTCCAGCCTGGCAACAGAGCTAGACTCCAACCCCTAGCCCACCAAAAAAGAAAGAAAAAGACAACTGGCAGATATTCTTTTTACCCTACCTCCCCTCCTCCTGCTGTCTGCATTGACATGATGGCTGGAGCTACAGCAGCCAACTTGGGCCATGATGATGAAATTCATGTACTCAGAATGGTGCACCAGAAACATAGGAGAATAGGTTCTTGATGACTGTGAAGTCATCACAGCAGCTGTTGACTGCCCACCACTGGACTTGTTTAAGTGAAAGAATCAATGCCTGTTTTGCCTGAGCTTCTGTGCTAGCAGCCAAATGAACTTCCTGCCTGACTCAGAATTTAACCTATTTTCTGTTACCTCAATACTCTGGACTTTGCCTGCCAGATCCCTTGCTAGGAATGCTCACCACCACTTGTAAGGTCCTTCTCATCTTTCAAAACTCAGCTTGAATGTCACGTTCTCCTGGAGGCCATCCCCTGCTGCCCCTTCCCTCTTTGGGCTCACTGCTATTCAGCTTCCCAACCGCCCACTTGCTGCCCATCCATCACGGACTATCCACTGCCGGCCTCCCTCTAGCATTTAGTCAACCTCTATCCCCAAGGTCTCTGTGCACTCTCTTCAGCTTCTCCTCCTTTCTCACTTGAGGGCCTTCTCAGTCTTTCTCCAGGTTCCTCTGCCTCTGGCCACCCCTGAAGGTTGCAGCACTTCAGGAGTCTGCTCTGGGCACTGTCTTTTCACTCTCCATGCACCCCTGGGCAATCACACTCAATGCTATGGCTCCAGCCACCACCTCTCTGCTAATGACTCCAAAGCCAGTGGGGCACTGATCTCGCTTGGCTTACGAGAACAATTGTTAAAACTCCAGGAATTGGGCTGGGTGTAGTGGGTGGCTCAAGCCTGTAATCCCAGCACTTTGGGGGGCTGAGGTGGGCGGGTCACCTGAGGTCAGGAGTTTGAGACCAGCCTGGCCAACATGGTGAAACCCTGTCTCTACTAAAAATACAAAAATCGCTGGGCATGGTGGCATGTGCCTGTGGTCCCAGCTATTTGGGAGGCTGAGGCAGGAGAATTGTTTGAACTCGGGAGGTGGAGGTTGCAGTGAGCTGAGTTCATGCCACTGCACTCCAGCCCAGTTAGCAGAGCAAGACTCCATCTCGAAAACAAGCAATAAACAAAAACCAAAAGCAAAACAAAACAAAAAAAACTTCAGGAATTGTGTGAGCCAGTTGTTAAAGCCATTACATTATTAAAAATTAAATTATATAAAGTTACAGTTAAATTATGTTAAAAACATAGATAATACTCAAAATGCATAACTTCCTAGTTATTTTACTATTATCTGTGCTCTTAAGGTTATTTTTATCTATGCTATCTGTATCATGAAAAATCGACATAACTGAATTTGAGATATCTGTTCAATGACATCACACTGACAGCTTGGAATCAATGTGATGGGAGTATTTTACCCCACTGACATTGGCAAACTACAACTCTAGGTGTTCCTTCCCGCCTACCCCTCTCCCACCCCAACCTTGGAGAGCAATTTGTTAAAGAATTCTGGCTGGATGCGATGGCTCATGCCTATAATCCCAGCACTTTGGGATCTGAGTCCCACTTTGGGATCTGAGTCCAGCACTTTGGCGACCTGAGTCTCCAGCCTGGACAACATGGCGAAATCCCATCTCTACTAAAAATACAAAAATTTGCCAGGTGCGGTGGTGGGTTACTGTAATCCCAGCTATTTGGGAGGCTGAGGCAGGAGAATCACTTGAACCTGGGAGGCAGAGGTTGCAGTGAGCCGAGATCATACCATTGCACTCCAGCCTGGACGACGGAGTAAGACTCATTTCAAAAAAAAAAAAAAGAATTCTGAGTACACCATGACTCAAATCTGCACCTGAAGCCAGCCTGGAGTGCTTTCCTGAGCTCTGGGCTCACATACCTACTGTCAGCTGGACACCTCCTCCAGCTTGTCTGTCATTCCCCCAAACAAGCTCATCATCATCCCCCCAGCAAGCTGCTCCACCCGCTCAATGCCTATTTCATTTTGCAGCAGCGTCACTCACCCTATTGTCCAAGCCAGAAACCTGGGAATCTTCCTCAACTTGCCCTTTTCCTTCTCCCATAACACCTAATAAGTTACTCCCAAGTGATATTCACATCTCTCCTTCCAGCCCTGCCCCAGCCTCACCAGGGTTTCTGTAGTTCAAGCTTCCTTGTCCCTCCTTTGGAGTGTGCCCCAGCCTCCTTTCTACAGCCAGCCTTATCCAACCCACCTCTGTTTGGCCCCATAAAATGCAAATCTCATTAGACCTCTTGGGCTTAAAATTCTTCAGTGACTTCCCATTTCCTGTGATATAAAGTTCAGGCATGCTTCATCTTCTTTCTCTCTTCCTCCGTCTCCGGGATCCTCCATCCTCCTTCATCTTTCTTTATCTCGAACTCTCTGGCATTCAGGAGTTCTTAATCCCAAACCACAGAAATCACTTCCAGCTGATTTAAGCAGATAAGGAGCTTATTAAATACTGGGCAGTTCATGGGCCAGGTGCAGTGGCTCATACCCATAATCCCAGCACTTTGGGAGGTTGAGGTGGGAGGATCACTTGAGGCCAGGAGTTCGAGACCAGCCTGGGCCACATAGCAAGATCCCATCTCTACAAAAAATAAATAAGTAAATTATAAACAAATAACAAATATTTTTTAAATGGCATGCACCTGTAGTCTCACCTACTGAGGGGGCTGAGATGGGAGAATCTCTTGAGAACAGGAGTTCGAGGCTGCAGTAAGCTATGATTGACAGTGCCACTGCACTCCAGCCTGGATGACACAAAGAAACCTTGTCTCAAAAAAAAAAAAAAAAAAAAAAATATATATATATATATATATATATATATATATATATATGTACTGGACAGCTCAAATAATCTCCAGAAGAGTTAGAAAATCCACATTGGCGACCACGCAGCCTGAAATGATACCCGAAATCCCACCACCAGGCAGACCCATGAAGAATCCCAGCACCATGGCTGGGCATGGACAGTGCAGCTTGTCCTGTTGGTGCTGGACACTCTCACAGTGAGTGTCACTGCTGCCAATGGTCCTTGGCAGGAGCTGCCATCACCACTTCTCCACACCAGAACACACCCCACTCCTTCCCTGCTGTTTCCTGGCACTAGCTTCAGGTCCCAAGTCTGGGCCTGCACCTGTCAGTCACATGTCCTGGCTGCAAGGAAGACTGACAAAACAATTATTTGGCATAGTTATCTCTCAGAAGGGAAGGTGGGCTCTGCTTCAGAAGGTGGGGGACCCCCCTGCACATGGGAAGGGTGCAATTCTAATGCTGAGAGACCAAAAATAATTACAGGTATTCTCTGTGCTAGTTCTTAAAATAATACAATTAAGGCTGGGCGCAGTGGCTCACACCTGTAATCCCAGCACTTTGGGAGGCTGAGGCAGGTGGATCACTAGGTCAGGAGTTCGAGACCAGCCTGGCCAAAGAGACCAGCCTGACCAACATTGGTGAAACCCTGTCTCTACTAAAAACACAAAAATTATCTGGGCATGGTGGCAGGCACCTGTAATCCCAGCTACTCAGGAGGCTGAGGCAAGAGAATTGCTTGAATCTGGGAGGCAGAGGTTGCAGTGAGCTGAGGTCGCACCATTGCACTCCAACCTGGGTAACACAACGAGACTTCGACTCAAAAAAATAAAATAAAATAAAAAAATAATGATAATACAAGTAAATATTATGCAAAGGAAAATAATCAGCACCAGGAAGGAAGGCAATGAAATGTAAAACTTCTTTCCCTGAACCCTCTCAGTCTCATTTCCTAGGTGCAACCCCTGTTAACAATTTTTTTCAGAAATTCTTACAGATGTGTGCCCAGGTGAGGTGACTCATGCCTGTAATCTCAGCACTTTGAGAGGCTTAGGTGGGTGGATCACTTGAGGTCAGGAGTTCAAGACGGGCCTGGCCAACATGATGAAACTCTGTCTCTACCAAAAATACAAGTAGTAGCCGGTGTGGTGATAGGCGCCTGAATCCCAGCTACTCAGGAGGCTGAGGCAGGAGAACTGCTTGAACCCTGGAGCTGGAGGTTGCAGTGAGCCAAGACTGCACCACTGCACTTCAGCCTGGGCAATAGAGGGAGACACCATCTCAAAAAAAAAAAAAAGAATTGTATATCTAGCCAGAATATGTATATGTTTATATATAAGGTGTCTGTGTATAATTATATAGTATGTGATAAGTATGTATATGTATTTGACACATAGAAAATTATATATCCTTATACATCAAATATAATTTCCTTTGTATCAAAATTGGCTCATTCCACACAGTGCAGTTCGGCACCTTGCTTCTCCCACTTAACACCACATGTTGACACACACCCATGTCAGCACACATGGGTCTAGCTCGTCTTTCCCAACCACAGCATGGCGTTCCACTTGGATGGACGTGCCACAGTTAGCTAGCCAGTCCTGTATAGATGATCATTTAGATAATTTTGTTTTCACTACAAAAAATGCTGCAGTAAACATCCTTGCACAAATGTTTTTGTGTGAATGTGTGACTAGAGTCACACCGGATCAATTCCTGGAAGGGGAGCTGTTGGCTCCAAAGGCGCATGCTTTTATGCTTTTGGTAAACACTGCCAAATTGCCGTCCAAAATGTCTGCGCCAATTTGCAGTTCTACCAGCGGCCTGTGAACGTTTTCTGTTTGGTTGGTTGGTTGGGTTTTTTTGTTTGTTTGTTTTTGGAGTCTGGCTGCTGGTGGCCCCCTCACCTAATTACCCATCACTTACACACCCTGCATTTCTGGCCACAGTGCCTTTGCCCGTGCTGTTTCCACAGCCTAAAATTCTCTTTCTCCCTAGCCTGCTTGATGAAATTTTCCCATTCCTGCCAGGCCACAGTTCAGATGTCACCTTCTTTTTATGGCCTTTCCTGACTCCTCTAAGCTGTCAGAGTCCCTTTCCTCTGGGATACTGCAGCTTCTTGGGCGTAATTCTATCAAAGCACTGAGGGCCTACTGTGTGCCTGGGACAGTCCCTACCATAAGCACACAAAAATGTGGTTTTGTCCTCCACCCCGCTCCATCCTGGCTCTCCAGCCGCGCTGTCTTTTGCCGGCATAGTCCTGCCTCGGGGGCCTTTGCACTTGCACTCTGTATGGATCTTGTCCTCACCCCTGGTGGCGCCACGGTGCCTCTGGAAATCTCTGCTCCAATTCACCTGCTGGTAGAGGCCTTCCCTGACCACTCAGTCTCAAGCACCCCTCCCGTAGTCCCCGCGTTACATCACCGTTACCTTCATAACTTACAAGTTGAAATGATCTTGTTGCTTTCGATGTTGATCCCGTTTTTCTGTCTTGTCTTTCACCACTGAGCACATGAACACACACACGTACAAACACCCCCGTGGTAAGCTCCCCGAGACCAGGAGCCTTGTTTTCCTTTTCTACTGCCTCTAGCCTTGAACCCGCACCACTTGTCTAAGCGCTCAGTAAACATTCGTTGAATTAACCATCCCTCTTTTACAGAAGAGGAAACTCATTCAGAAAGGAGAGCCGAGTACCCCAAGGTCCCACGGTTAATAAAAAGCACTGCTGAGATTCGAGCCCAGTGGAACTCCAAAGCCAATCGCGTGATTTCTTCCGCACTCTTCGCACACCGCATTGTCCCCCTCCCCCACCTCCCAACAGACTACGCGAGTCTCACGGCCCGGGCCCCCAGGGGCGCGTCCCGGGCCGGTCCCGGGAGGCTCTTCGGCTACGCGCTCTGTCACCCTCCCCGCCCCCTGTCAGTCAGGCCGAGGGGGCGGCGCGGCCGCCAGGGGGGGCGCTGAGCTCAGAGCTGCCGCAGCGCCGGAGCCGGAGGAACCGGAGCGCGCGAGCTCGCTGGGCGCAAGGAACTAGCAGTGGCTGGCGACGCACCCGAGACCCGGGCACTGCTGCTCCCCTTCTCAGGGCCCGCGACCCGAGCGCCTGACCCCTGCTCTATCCCCCACCCGACCCCGAGTCCACCCCGGCCCGGCCCAGCGGAGCCCCCAGCGTCCGCTCGCCGAAGCCGCCGCTCCATCCCCAGCCCCGGCCCCGCATCCAGGTGAGGCGGCCTCGCGCCTGGGCTGGGGAACGGGATGAGGATGGAGAGGGGACTGGGGTGGCAGGAGGACGCTGGGGAAGGGGATAGAAAGTGGAGGGAGGCTCGGGGGTGCGCTTCAGTGTGCACCCTGGAGTATGTGAGTGTGCTCTGGTGTCTGCCCTGCCCGGGAGGCCGTGGGGACGTGTGTCAGCGCCCGTGTGGGTCGGAGTGTTCGAGCGCGTTGGATCGTCTGCGTGTCCTGTGTGTGCACGTGAGCGTGTCCGTGGTATATGTTTGTGTGCATGACCGTGTGACTCTGCCGTGCGTGAACAGGCGGGTCCTGGGTCTTCGTGCCGAACCCAGCTCTCCGGTTCCACCGGACTGCAGGTTGCAGGGCCCGGATAACCGAGGCAGTGGCCCCTCCCGCGTCCCCGGGTTTCAAGGACGCTAGGACTCTCCGCGGCCCTGAGGCCTCGCACTGGGGAGTGAGGCGGGTGTGTGGGGGGAAGCAGGAGGGGGCTCAGGGTCCAGAAGGGCTCCTTGGTCTCGGGAGAGGGGGGGACACCCGCGTCCCTCGGGAGGGGCTGGGGTGAGGGTGCGTGGCCAGCGCACCGGTGCCCGTGTATCGCCCTCCCCAGGCCGCCAGGATGGACGTGTTCATGAAGGGCCTGTCCATGGCCAAGGAGGGCGTTGTGGCAGCCGCGGAGAAAACCAAGCAGGGGGTCACCGAGGCGGCGGAGAAGACCAAGGAGGGCGTTCTCTACGTCGGTGGGCGAGGGGCGGGGCTTCTGGGGCTGCAGGGCTGGGGGTCCTCCGAGAGTGTGGAGCTGGGGCTGGGTCCAGGGGAGGGGGTTCTGGGCAGAAGAATTTGAGTCAGCAGTGGGGCGGGGTCAGCAGGGGTCACGGGGGACGTAGCAGATAGAAGCCTGGGTCTGCGTCCGGAAATGGGGACACGGGGCCGGCTGATGAGGGGGCGCTCCAGCTGAAAAGCCAGGGACCGGTGCAGTGATGAAAGCAGAGAGCTCCTTTTTCTTATCCTTATTACTATTATTAATATTTACCTGGTGTTGAACAGTTGTTCTATGCCAAGTACTGGGTAAAATGTCATAACATTCATTTCCTCATTTAATGCTCCAGACCATTCTACAGATAAGGGAAACTGGGCTTCCCAGAGGTCTAAATATCATGCCCAAGGTCACGCAGCTGGTGAGCTGAAGCTGGGGTTTGAACCGAGCTTTATAGAATCCGAAGCCCCACCCCTCCCTTGTGGCTCCTCCCTCCAGCACCTCCAAGGCCCAGTCAAGTTGAGTTCCAGGCCCGCCTGCATCAGGACCCTGTGGTTTTACCATTGCCACCTACCCTCCCCATCCAGTCTCTTTGCAGTCGCCAGCTGGTATCAGGAGAAAGTCCAGGTGGATAAAATTTCTCACCCCTAGTGGAAAGGAAACTGAGTCTGCAGGGTTATTTGCATAAAAGGAGGAAAGGTGTGAAACTAACATTTACTGAACCCCTGTGGTGACTCAGGGTTTGCTTGTGCAGAGCAGGTATAATGACTCCCTGTGCAGACTTGAGAGGGTTGTATAACTTGCCCAGGGTCGTGGCATATTTGGTTGGATTGTGGCCGTTTGAAAAATATTTAGTCCCTACTTATTATGTGCCAGGCATTGTGTGGATGCTCAGGTTTCAGGGTGAACAGGAGACCATGGTTCCTGCTCTCCTGACGGTGATACGGAGCGTTTCAGTAGTTCGAGTTGACATCCAGTGGCTCCCCGAGAAGAATGCCTCATCCCTGAGTAATAAGACGGGGGCAGGCCTGCAGAAAAGGCAGGTGCAAAGGCCCTGGGGTAAGCTGGAGGCAGGGCAGGAGGCAGCAGTAGGAGGTAAGGTCAGAGAGAAGAGATGGGAAGGAGCCAGTTCATGAGAGCCCTTCGCAGGCCAGGGCAAAACGTTGTTCTGATGGCCATGAGAGAGTAAGCAAGGGACTGCCATGACGTGATTAGATTAGAAAGGTTGCTTGGCCCTCTGGTGACAGAACAACCGCAGCAAGGCCTGATGGGAGGTGGTAAAGCCACCAGATAAGGGTGGTTGGGGCAAGGGCAGTGGCAATAGAGACCTGGAGAAGGCTTAAGTGCATGTCTGTGTGACCCCAGCCCTGGCCTCCCTCCTGCCTCCTCCCCAATGTCTTTCATTGCTGCTGTCCCCTGGCTCCCTGACACTGTCTCTCTGCTAATAGACTCTGCCCCTCCAAGCCATGCTGCTCTTCCCCTTAGATTGGCATTTCCTGCTCTGCCCTCTGCTTGGGAGCCCCTGATGGCCCCCCAGTTCCTACAAGTTAAAGCCTTGGTTCCCTGTACCCTGGCTTTCAGTGCCCTTCACAGTCCTGCCTCAGTCTACGTTTCTCACCACATCCATGGCTCCTGGCACACGGACTGCCCTGAAAGCACATTGCTCTGCCTTGTCTGTGTGGGTCCCTGGGCCTGGGATGCCCTCTGCAGTCTCCTTTCTGATATCCATCTGCTCCTCATTTCTCAAGGCCCCGGTAGTGTCCCTTCCCTCTTCGAATAGTCCCTGGAGGCTGGAAGTCCTCTCCCCTTTACTTGAGGTCCAGGAAATGAATCTGTTCTCTACCCACTTCGGACAGTGAGCGATTGGCCCAGGGCTTGAGATGGAATAACTGAAAACTAATGTTTTGTGGGAGGAGTGAAAGGGAGCATGCAGCCTGCCCCTCCTGTCTCTGGGTGCTGGTTGGCCTTCGCCGTGAGAATCCTGTCTTCCCACGCCAGCCTCTCCCCCGAGCCCCCTGCCAGGCTCAGCCGGCCCAGACACCCAGTTCTGGCTCTGTCACTGTTGTCTATATTGCTCATTGTCAGAGGGGATACTCCCCGCCCCCTTTCCGGTTCTCCTTCTCTAGCGCAGATCAGGCCCTCTGGCCTTCCCAGAACCCCCATTTTGATGTGACCAAGTTGCTACCCTCCTGGGAAGGCCCAGCCAATGCCATGGGTGCCAGTCACAGTCCGAACATCACCTTTACACCCTGCCTGAGCCTGACATCCCCACTTTGGCCAGAAGAAGGACTTTGCACCCTCTTAGGAGAAGAGAATCTTTAGAGGAAATGGAGTGGGGCAGTGGGCTGTGAGCAGTGGTGTGTGGGGCACAAGAGGAACCTTTCAAAATACATAGCCTTGTTGTCTCCCAGCTCCGCCCCTACTCGAACCCCTCACCTGCCTTCCATCCTGGGCTACGTGTTCTTAGAGTGGTTGGTAGCTGAAGTTTTAGGGTCAGAAAGACCTGAACTTGAATGTCAGTTCAGCCACTTTCTAGTGGCGGAATCCACATGGAGTTTCCATCTGTGAAACAGGGACAATAACAGCAGCTGCCTCCCAGGACTGGGGAGAAGTGAAGTGCAGCGGGGCAGGCAGAGGGCTTTATAAGACACTGGCCCTCAGCCAACATCCCCTAGAGGGGTGTGGGTATCACATCAGGTGGGAGAGAACTGCAACTCCTGCAGACAGAGGTGTGCAGTGATAAGAGGGGGGTTAGCACAGGGGTGCAGGTCATAGGCTGTAGGGACTCAAGGAGGCAGTGACGAGGCCGGGATGCCCACGCTGTAATCACCACACTGTGCTGGAGTTTCTGTTCCCTCAGCACAGAGCCCTTAAATGTGCTGCTTTTTTCTCCCTGCAGGAAGCAAGACCCGAGAAGGTGTGGTACAAGGTGTGGCTTCAGGTACCAGCCCAGCCCTGGCACTGGTCCCTTCTCTCACTTAGGCCAGTGATCTGACCAGGAACCAGAGGGGAGGGGCGGGGGAGATTCACAAGGCTTCTGCAGGGGATGCTCCATGGGGAGGTCAGGCCCCGGGATACTACAAGGCTACAAGGTGGGACATCTATGGCTCCTTCCCCCTGGCTCCCAAACGTCTTCCTTAACCCCTTCCCTGCTCCAGTGGCTGAAAAAACCAAGGAACAGGCCTCACATCTGGGAGGAGCTGTGTTCTCTGGGGCAGGGAATATCGCAGCAGCCACAGGCCTGGTGAAGAGGGAGGAATTCCCTACTGATTTGAAGGTAAGTGATCCTCCCTACCCATACATGCACATGCATATGCACACACAAACCAGGCACACATATAACCCTGTCACCATCCCTGCCCCCCAATCCCGCTCCCAGCCTAGGGCACAAGCCACCTTGCCCATCCTGCAGGGCTATGCTAGACTCAACTCAGAATGCATCCGAAGGAAGGCGTGCATGGGTGTAATGCTCCTGGTGATGGGACCCAGACCTGGCTGTCTGAGCATATTCTGCTTGCCAGTGTGACCCAGATGACTTCTGGCCATGTCTGCATGTGTCAATGATTGTTCATTCATTTCTTTTCATTCAACAAATACCTATGCCAAAGAGAATATAGTTGGAGAGGCTGCTGCGGTGAATAGGTTCCTACGTTCCTGCAGCAGACATTGTAGTGAGAGAAGACAGACAGTAAAACACAAGCCAGCAGGCAGAACACTTTCCGAGGGGATAGTGCTACGGAAAAGACAGAGAGGGTGATGGGACAGACAGGCAAGGGGTGAGAGGGCTATTTTAGCTGGGAAAGCTTCTGAGGAAGGACCATTTGAGCTGACACCCAAGGGATGAGAGAGGCAGCCTTGAGGTGTGTGGGAAGCGAATTTCAGGCCTTAGGAACAGCAAGTACAAAGGCCTGAGGCAGGTTGGAGCAGGTGGGAGCTATGCTGAGGTGGGCGTGATCTGTGCGCTTACGTTTCCCTAGAGGAACACTGGAGCCACTCGTGTGGGCATGGAGACAGAGCCCCCTATTAAGACCCCTGATAAGAGGGGGTTGAGAGTTGTGAGCTCTGAACTTACCCACCCCCAGCCTCAGCTGGGTTTGAATCCTAACTCCACTACTTCCTGGCTGCATGACCCTGGGCAGGTCCCACCATGTCTCTGAACCTGATGGTTTGCTTGTAAAATGCAAGTGAACACAATAGGAATCTATGCAGATTGGAGATAATATGGGCTAAATATTCTCAAAGCTTGAGCATGTATCAGTCACCAAGAGGCCAGGTTAAAATATAGTTTGTTGAGCCCATCCTTAGAATTTTCAATTCAGTAGGTCTGAGGTGGGGCTGGAGGATTTGCATTTCTAACAAGTCCCCAGGTGTTGTTGATGCTGCAGTTCCGGGGAACATACTTTGAGAATCATGGCTATAAAGAGCCGGGTTTGCATACAGTGAGTGCCCCGCAAGAGATTGTGGTCACATGATCACGCAGGCAGTCTGTGCCTGCCTGCAGGGAATCCTGTGACCACAGTTGTGCCTGGAAGTGGACCTTCGTGACACGTGTGTGCAGGCATTCACTGTGGATGCTCTGTGTCTGTCCAAGGGCATGTGCAGACCCTGCCTCCATGGGGATGGGGGCTCTTTCTGCAGCATTTGGTTTGGGTGATCAGTGTGTGTTCAGCATGTGTACAATCACCAGGCTGCAGGAGACCCCACGCTGCCCTCTACTCCTGGCATTTTGCACAGCTGGTTCCTTCCACTGTTGGAAGTCTGAATCTTGACTCAGAATTTCTAGTTCAAGCCCTGTCCCTGCATTTTACCATCTGTATGACTTCCCATTTCTTATAATCATGTTACCAGTAATCACTCCTATTCACTGATCTCTTTCATGAGCAGGCACTGTCCTAGATGTTTCACATGAACTAACTCATTGACTTCACAATGTCACATGAGCTGTGTACCATAACCAGCTCATTTTACAGATGAAGAGACCGAGGTTCAGAGAGGTGAAGTCACTTGCCCCAGACCCCAGTTCCTACCTGCCTCCTTTATAAGCTCAGGAGGATAAGCTCAGGCCAGGTCACTGGAGTTGCTTGGTGCTGGCTCAGGGCCAGTCCTAGTGCTAGGAGCTGGGGTGCAGAAGAGAGGCAAGTTCAGCCTCTCTGTCAGCCCCGAGGCTGTCTGTGATGGGCATTTGCACAGAATCATTTCTCTCTGGCCACCTTTCTCCTGCGGGTGTTTGTTGACACCTCAAGGCTACCCTCTCCAGGGAGTCCAAGATCATAGAGTTATAATCCAAACAATAGCCCCTTGGGCCACTGGTGGCATGGGAGAACTCATGCAGGCCCAGGGTCCACATTTCTGAGACTCTCTGCTGTGAGCTTGCTTTCCACCCATCATCATGGAATCCTTACCAGCCTCATTTCCCATGCAAGGCTGCTGAGATTAGAACCAAAATAACTTGCCTGATGCTAGCAGGTAGCCAGGCTGGGGGGGTTGTTTATTTGTTTTCTGAGCTGGGGTCCTGCTATGTTACCCAGGCTGGTCTTGAACTCCTGGGCTCAAGCAGTCTTCCTGCCTCAGCCCTCCAGGTATCTGGGATTACAGGCTATGGGATTCTTTTAAGTGAACTTTTTATTGAATTACAATGTACACGCAGAAAAATGACAGCTCCATGAAATGTTCACAAGGGGAACTCCCCATGTAACCAGCAGCCAGCTCAAAACAGAACAATATCCCCCTCAGGACCCCACCTTGTGTCCCCTTCCAGTTCCCATTGTCAGGGCCAGGACTAGGGGGAGACAAAAGAGGTATCTGGGACACTCACTCATGGAGTCTCATTTGCATGGCCAGGAGAGCCAGTGCCTCCCTCACATCTGCACCCCAGGAGCCTTACCCATCTCGCCTCAGTCCTGGCCCTGCCTGTCACCCTCCAAGAGGAACTGTTCCTGACTTTTTTTTTTTTTTTGACACAGAGTCTCGCTCTGCTGCCCAGGCTGGAGTGCAGTGGCACAATTTCAGCTCACTGCAACCTCCACCTCCAAGTGATTCTCCTGCCTCAGCCTCCCAAGAAGCTGAGACTACAGGTGTACACTACCACATCTGGCTAATTTGTGTATTTTTAGTATAGATGGGGTTTTACCATGTTGGCCAGGTTGGTCTCAACCTCCTGACCTCAAGTGATCTGCCCGCCTCAGCCTCCCAAAATGCTGGGAGGGGTTATAGGTGTGAGCCACTATGCCTGGCCTTGCTTCTTGGCTTCTATCAGCACAAAATTAGTTGGGTGTTTTTTAAGTGTTATCATGAGGTCAGGTGCAGTGGCTCATGCCTGTAATCCCAGCACTTTGGAAGGCTGAGGAGGGCAGATCACCTGAGGTCAGGAGTTTGAGACCAGCCTGGCCAACATGGCAAAACCCCATCTCCACTAAAAATACAAAAATTAGCTAGATGCAGTGACATGTGCCTGTAGTTCCAGCTACTCAGTAGGCTGAGGCAGGAGAATCGCTTGAACCTGGGAGGCGGAGGTTGTGGTGAGTAGAGATCTCCCCAGTGCACTCCAGCCTGGGCCACAGAGTGAGACTTTTGTCTCAAAAAAAAAAAAAAGAAATGTTGTCATGAAGGCCATGTTCTTCTGTATCTGGCTTCTTCCATTCATCAGGAAGCTTGTGAGAGTCAGCCTTGCTCTTGTATGCACTGTCGTTCTTTATTCTTGTTTGTAGTATTCCATTGTGTCATTAGCTCACGAGGCACATATCCATTCTACAGATGTTGGACATCTGGGTTGTTTCCAAACAATGTGCTTGAGCTGGCTTTTTATTTTTTTTAGATGGAGTCTTGCTCTGTTACCTAGGCTAGAGTGCAGTGGCTCAATCTCGGCTCACTGCAACCTCTGCCATGCCTGGCTATCAAGTTGGCTTTTTTTTTTCTTTTTTTAAATTTTTAAATTTTATTTTAAGAAGCTAAACACTAGTATTCTTCCTTCACAAGCTGGCATTGTTTATGCTACATTCCATCCCTGGGTTCTGGTCATAGCTGGGTGACTTGGGGGCAAACTAACATTTCCCCGCCTCCTGGGCCTTGGCATACCCATCCATACAAAGGGGCAAATGAGCCAGGTCAGGAGCTGCAAACTCATGTGCCCACAAAGGCCACCTAGACACGTAATGTGAAGAAGCTGACGCTGCCTTTGTCTGTACCCAGGGGTACCCAGGGTGCAGACATTGTCAGAACAGGTCTTCCCAGCCCCAGTGCTCCGGGATCCCAGGTGTGTGCCAGCCCACATGAGGCGCTGCCCAGGCTGTGCATGAATCCCATGCTACTTTGTCTGCCTGTGTGTGCAGCCAGCTCAGTCTCGTGTTTGTGCACATACATGTGCTTGCCTGCAGGTGGCTGGCCATGTGTCTGGCAGCCCGCCCACATGCATGCCCGCTGGTCTGCGCCTCTCTGGGCAGCAGACGCAGCGGGGAGGGGGGAGTCTTAGCTCACACATCCAAGCAACACCATGAGCTGTGGCTTCCAGCTTATCTTAAAATAGCAACAGCTGAAGAAACCAGGCCACACAGGGCCCGGGGGAGGGATGGGTGGAAGGTGGCAGGGGAATGGCTCAGCCCCTGCCCAGCCCTGTCCCTGAGCCTCCAGATCCCTTCAGCCCAGGGTAGCCCCCAGGGTTATCTCTGGGGTCGCAATGCCCAGCACAAAGCCTGACACAAAGGATGAGGCGTAAGCTGGTGACTGAGTATCCAAATGGTGGAAGTGCAGAGGCTGTCAGGTGTGTGGGTGGGTAGCAGTGTGGAGAGTCAGCTCCCCCTCCATGCTGCCACTTCAAGTGTGATTCCAGGGGATTTCACTGTTCACCTCCATCCCACTTCCAAGGCACTCCAAATAAAAAACTAAATTAGAAATTGTCCTTGCTATGCCAACCCACCCTAGCCTTTCCCACTCCTCCAACCAGCCCGAAGCTTACTGGTGTGGGCATCTGGGGGGCATCCTGGCTGCCCTCACCAGCCCAGCCCTTCTCTGCCTGCAGCCAGAGGAAGTGGCCCAGGAAGCTGCTGAAGAGCCACTGATCGAGCCCCTGATGGAGCCAGAAGGGGAGAGTTATGAGGACCCACCCCAGGTGAGGGGGCAGCAAGTCTGGGCAGGACTTTGGGCATCCAGGAAGATTGCTGCCGTATCTAGCTGGCTGGGACATCCCTGGCTTGAGATGGTTGGGCCAGGGAGCCTGACTCCCCTCTTCTAGAACCCAGGCCCCAAGAGGGAGGAGAGGGCAGATGGAATCTAGCGCTGGGCCCCAGGCACCCCTGCCCAGGAATTCTCTGTTGTCCCCAACTTCCAGGCTCCTCCCCTGTCCAGGAAAAGGGGAATACACTGTTACTGCTTGAGGGAGAGGGTTCTCAGGCCAGGGCTTGGCCACTTGGTATCCAACTCCTCCTCCTTTTGCTCTTCTCTACTCCACCCCCATCCCTGTGATGCAGGAGGAATATCAGGAATATGAGCCAGAGGCGTAGGGGCCCACGACAGCCCCCATCAGCAGCACAATTCTGTCCCTGTCCCTGCCCCGCCCCCCAGAGCCAGGGCTGTCCTTTGACCCTTTCTCCCCAATCACGAGATCTTCCTTCTGCTCTGAGGTAACTCCCTCGGAGCCTGTGTTAGTGTCTGTCCATCTGTCTGTCCTACCCGCCCGCGTCTAACCCTGGGGCGTGGACAGGGCCGGGGCTGCGGCTGCGGCAGGGAGCCTCGCCCCTCCAGTGTTGCCTCCTCCCGTCCAGCGTCTGCGCGGATGTAGCATGTTATATGTGTTTTTAAACGAAGATCCGAAGCGACGGCTCCTCCCCGACCCCCGACAGTGGCTCCCCGAGGGGCCCCTGGGCAGTCCCAGAGCAACCGCCCCACTCCCATTAACCCCGAGAACCTTTTTTTTTTTAAACCAAAACCAGGAGCCAGGCTGTGCCATGTCCCCCCACCTCAGCCGGCCCGGTCCCAACGCGGGCGTCTTGTGTTGTGATTGTGGCATGGAGAGTCCCCATTCCCCCGTGTGAGCGTGTCCCGGGCAGGCGGGCCCAGCTGCCCCCCGCAAGTCCATGAATAAAGTTAAATCTCTGTAGCTGGCGCCGCACAGGCACGGCTGGGCTGGGCGCCGGGTGGGGACTGCACGTGACGGCGGGTCTTCCAGGTCCTAGACTGCCCCTCTGCGCCCTTTGGGGTCTGGCACATACAGTCCAGGTACAAGACAGGCCACCTCTGGCTTCGCATCTCCATCACCTACTCTACACCCCGCCCCCCTCCACGGCAGGGACGGGGAGGATGTCCCCAGGTGCTGGGACACGCAGTTGGCTGGGAAGTGGGAAGGTAGCCTCGGGCGCCGCCTGCTGGTCCCTAAAGTGCCAACTGGGAGTGCAGGATCGAGGGAAGCCCCACACCGCGGCATCATTGGGGCGGAAGGGATCACATCGGGCCGCACACGCAGCGCAGGCGCGCCGATGCTCATGCACGTGCGGACCCGCGTGCCTGTCCGTGGGTCCATGTGCGCGAACCCGAATGTGCACGCTCTGGCTGCGCGAGGGTGTAGACACGCATGCACGCACGCTGGCCAACACGTGCAGACCAGCGCGCTCCCATTCCAGCCCTAAAAGACCTCTCTCACAATAGAACGTGGACACGCACAAGGCTCCGCGCACACCTGCCCAACGCAGAAAAACCTAAGCGGAGGGGAAATGGGCAACTGCCCCAGGAGCCAGCAGAGCCCTGGCCTGCAGTGCCCCACCCTTCCATCCCCAAGAAGGCGCTGGAAAGTTTGAGGCAGCAAGTTTGAGTTGGGTGAGGCCCGCAGTTGGGATGCCGCCTAGGAGCCTCGAGCGGATCAGGATCAGCACTAGGGGGCCCCCAACACAGCTTCGGAGCGAGAAAGGGGGCGGATATACAACGCGCTTCGCGCAGAGGCACCGCCCCCCAAGCGCAGCCTTTATAGGCACAGGAGCTCCTTGCGCGAGGCCTCGCCCTTGCCCTCTGGCCGCAGAGGTCCTCTCTTCGCGCTTGCGCGGAGGCCCCGCCCCGTCCTACAGAAGCCCCGCTCCCACCAGGCGGGATCTTGGCGTGGCTGTGCCGCAGAGGCCCCCAACTTCGTCTGCGCAAGACCCTGCCCTTTCCTAAACCTCGGTGCGATCTCGATTCCGTGCCGCAAGCCTACCTCGCCCTCCAGCCCCGAGCTGGAAGAAGGTTGCACTATTCAATTAGCCGCCGAGTGTTAGCACCTCCTCCTTCCCTGAGTTGTTGTGGGCAAGAAGTCGTGGCAAGCTGGGAAGGCCTTCAACGCTGCGGGAGACCGTTCTGCTAAGGTCACCTTGGCCCGCAGGGTAGGGACCTTTATTTCCGGAAGTAGGAGGCCGCTGGCAGACGCGGTGGGTGGAGGGGGAAAACAAACCGGTGGGCTTGGATTCCCTGAGTCACTTACTTGATGCCAAGAGCTCCAGCTTCATGGAGCTTCCACAAGCTTCCCTTGTGGTTGAATTATATGCTACTCACAACCCACAATCCTTGGAGATCGCAAACTTGTGGCCCTCAGGCTGAATTTGGCCTGTAAATAGGTTTGATTTGTGAGCACAAGGTTTTAAAATTTTAAGTTTAATACCTTTAGGTTGGACACAGCTTTTCCCCTTGGCCACGGTCCCTTCCCCTCCTTTTGTATCCTACCCATCCACTTCTCTCATTTTCATGCACTGCCTGGCCTCTGAAGACTGAGTTTGCCGCCTCCAATCCAGCTACCAGCACCTGATCCCCATTTTTAAACGCCAAAACCAGGTTCACCATCTGGCCTGAGGGGAGATTCATTCCTGCTTCCTGGGCGCCAAGCCTCACACCTGGTCCCACTGAGACTGGTTCTGCTCAGAGACCAATGTTCTCATCTGCCAGGGTCACTGTAAATGCATTCCAGGCACAGGTCTAGAAGTGTCACCTGAGATACCAGCCTCATATCAGAAGCCTTGACCGTGTGCATGTGAGATCCCACACATCTCATGGGCTCTCCCTCGTGACAGGGACCAAGCCATTTCCCAAGTGCCCAGTATATCCCAGCATGAAACGCTTATCTCCAGTGATTTTGCTGGAAACTACCCTCAAGTCTTTCTTGTTTTTTACCCCCAATTTATGGATGAAGGAATGAAGCCTGGAGAGGCAGTTACCTGCCCACTGTCATGTTGCTGGAAAGTAGAAAGGTCACATTTGGCCTCAAGCCTGTCTCCAAAGCTCAACTCCTTTGGAATTTCCAAAAGGGGCCTGCTCTGCCTCTGAGGGGAGACAAACGAAAGACGCCAGCAACAGGAAAATGTGGAGGTAGCAGCCTGGAGATTTCGGACACTTGTACAATTTCATGGAGCCAGAGAGACAGGTTGTGCACATGGGTGGGTTTGAGCTGAGTGTGCACACTTACAAAAGTGGCATGGGCAGAGCTGTCTGTATCAGTGTTCACGCGTGTACACGATGTTCCCCACATGTGTTGTGGGTTTGTTTAGTCCAACAGTGTGCGTGGCACAGCTGCTCTGTCCTTAGATGGAGGAGGGGCTGCAGGGAACAGCCCTGAGGTCACTGCTCTGACTAGAGTTCACCTAGTGATCACGAAATGGTCAACAAATACATGGAACAAGGTAATCTTGAGTTTTATGCAGAAAAAAGCAGAGCAGTGTGATAGAGTGTGACGAAGAGAAGGTGGTGAGCAATCTTAAAACAAGGTGGCCAGGTCAGGTGTCTGTTGGAGTTGAAACCTGATGGAGAAGAGGGTGGTATGGAAAGACTTGGGGGCGGCAAGTGTCTTGGGTGGAGGAAGAGCCCACCCACTGTGTATCTGTATGTCCCCAGGGGTGTGGTCATCAGGCTGAGCCCAGCCAGGACTCCTGAGATCCGTGGATCCAATCCCACCTCACCTGGCCCATGCTTCTCCTTCGTCTGCCTGCCTCCTCCTCCATCCAGACAGAGGCCTCACCTCTGCCTGCCACAACCCTCTCTCTTCTGAGCTTTCCCAAGTCCTTTGACTGGAAGTGATTTCTCCTCCTCACCCCCATCCTGCTTTGCTGTGCACACAGACTGCTTTCCCACACATGTCAGCACTGTGAGGACCCTTGCTGGGTAGCTAACCTGAAAACTGCTCTCTCCCACTGATGGGAGGGCTGGGGACTGTCCCCCGTACCCACTGTTCCTCGGTCTCCCCACCCCCACCTCCAGTAAGGCAGCTCCACAGCTTTCTCTGGAACTTTATTTTTGTTTTCTCCCTTCCCTATTTATAGCTCTCTCCCCTTCAAACCATCCCTGCATCCATCCGGTTGCCTAGAAACCAGCTCTGGGCTGAGGGTGGGGGAAGGCCAGGCCCAGCTCAGGCAGGGGAAGGAAGAGCTGTCACCCACTCCCCTCTCAGCACCACTCCCAGGCTTGCAGAAGCCCACCCTTCCCTCTGCCCAGCACCCATGGTGTTTTTTAAAAAGAGAAAACAAAATGTGACAAGCAGCAGCCTTTGGGAAGTCCTTCCCAGCTTCTCAAGGGCACCATGATCATGGTTTCACTCCCACCTCTCAATAGCGTACCCTGCCCGAGGCCTGGACCCATTTCTTCAGATGAGGAAACGGAGGTTTCAGGAAGCAAAAGTCTTGTAGCACAGGCTCCCTCTCAGTGAAAGCTCCATGCTGTGGGGTTGAGAGCCTTGGGATATCAGCCTGACACACTGAAAAGCTTGAAAGCATAAATTATTCTATAATCCTTTAATTACAGAAGGATGGAGCGAAAAAGTTTACAACAAACCTGACACACAGCAAGCCACTGGCCATGCATTGCCATGCCCTCTGTTGTGCACCCTACCATGCCCTAGCAGTCTCCCTACCTGCCTCCCACTGTGCGCCCACCACACCCAACTGCAGCGTGATTTCTGACCCTGCGGATTACTTTCACAGATCGGATCAGGCTTGCTTCCTGACTCTGTCACTTCACCAACTGTGGCACTGGAAGTTCACATAACGTCTCTGAGCCTTGGTTTCCTGAGCACCAAAATGAGGATGCTAATTTCCACCCCATAGGACTAGGAGGAGAATTAAATGCAATACTGATGAGAAAATGCTTCCTAAATTATAGAGTGCTGTAAATTGGGAGTGATCAATTAGAATAGTTAATATTGTTTATTGTTATTATCATTGTTAGGGCCAAGAGTTGGGGCAGGGGAGCCAAAATTGGCCCTGAGATTAGAGAGGGAGCCCCTAGCCAGTGTCCAGGCAGAAGGACTTCTTTCCCTGGCAGAATGAGGGACATGGGTGGGGGCTGCCTGGACATACCTGTAGGATATTAGGGAATGGAGGAGGGCACAGAGTCCTCTTGTGCACGATTTCTCCTTCTTGAGTGCTCTATCCCTTATTGTCCACCCCCTACTCACTGTCCCCTGCCCTAAGGTCCAACTTTGCTTACCAAATAGGCCCTATGGGATTGCTTGAGCCCAGGAGTTTGAAATCAGCCAGGGCAACGTAGCAAGACCCTGTCTGCAAAAAGTAGGAAAACTTAGCTGTGTGCAGTTGCTAACACCTGTAGTCCCAGCTACTTGGAAAACTGAGGTGGGAGGATTGCTTGAGCTCAGGTATTGGAGGCTGCAGTGAGCTGTGATCATGACACTGCATTCCATCCTAGGTCACAAAGCAAGACCCTGTCTCAAAAAAAAAAAGGAAAAATAAAAAAGGCTCTCTTGGCAGAATGGGGGAGAGGGCTGCCAAGGAGCAGCTGGGCCATGATTCAGCCTGAGTCACCCATCTGAATCCTGGGGCCTCCCCCCACCAGGCCAGGCCGCAGCTGCTGGGGGTGAGGGAATGAAGCGAGGAAGGGAGGGTGCCTGTTTGAGCAGCAGGCTGTGTGCATATGTACCCAGGCCGGACTCTCATGCCAATCAGGGCAGCACTGTGAGGGCCTGGGGTGGTGCACTTGAGATCAGGGTGGGGAAGGTGACCTGATGTGCATCAGTTATCTGAGCTGACGGAGGATAGAGGGTTTCCGTGTGTGTGTGTGCATGTATGTATGTGTGTGTAGCAAGTGCACATGTGTGAGGATGTTGTATGTATGTCTGAGTAGGGCTAGAGTTTGACT